AAATGAAAAAGAATTATCGCGCGTAAGCGTTCAGAAAGACACTGGGGCGCAGTGATAGTTGACGTAATCCACAATAGAGGAGCTTAGGTAACAAAATGTTGGGAGCTAAGAGCAACATCTAATCGTTTTTTGAAAACATCCAGGGTAGGAGAGGATACAACTGAGTCTGGGAGTGCGTTCCAGGGTTTGCAAACCCGAAGGGAAAAGTAATTCCGTCGACACTCTAGACGGCTGTATTGTTCCTTCAACTTTAAGCAGTTACCCCTGAGCTGCGTGTTGTGACTAAGTTTCAGCAAATGGCGGCATACGTGGTTGGGGTCACTCAATATCTGATACGCTAATATGAGATCGCCACGCAGCCTTCGATAACGTCCGCTGAAAATTCCCAGCAACTTCAGCCTTCGGTGGTAAGAGTGATAGCGCAGACCCTGCACATTCTTTGTTGCTCTCCGTTGCGGTGCCTCTATCGCTTCTAGGTCGCGCTTCAACCAAGGTTGCCAAGCTTGGATTGCGTACTCAACATGCGGGCGCATGTAAGAATTGAGCATCATTGGGAAGATTGATGGGTCAAATATCTCGAATGCCCTTCGCAGCATGCCGAAGTGCTGGTTGCCTCTTCTCGCAGCTACCTCAGCCTGTTTTGAACAGTTGAGGTCGCTCTGTACGATCACACCAAGATCACGTTCCTGGGAGCTATTCTGCAATCCGTTTGTCCCAAGTATATAGGTGTAGTTATGTCTATGGCGTAATTGTACGACACGACATTTGTCTACGTTGAACGGTAGAGCGTTTTGAACTGACCAGTTCGACAGTGTGTTAAGATCGTGCTGGAGCCGTTCATGGTCATCCGGTCCTCTGATCCTTCGCCATATCTTGACATCACAGTCGCTCACAGCTAGCTAGTTTGACATTCGTGACTGTCCGTCACGTGATTGTGTTGGACACACGCATAACACTCGTTCAGACCTAGACCGCTTACCATTCATAACAATGTCCTTTCATGTGGTTGGCCTAGTGATCTATTGGTCTTCTGCGTCCCAATTACTCAGCTTTGTCAGTTTGTGAATACAGCTCGTCCGGCACGGTGATGTTCCTGCTTCCCGTTCGCGGTGGGTTCAGTTGCAGTCAGGCGTTATAATAGACTGGCGACGGAGATGCGGCCACTTGCTGTTTCTATTCTAACTGCGTCTACTGTTAGTGGAAGTTGACGTACGGATGTTTGAAATACTTGTCTAATCTCGGGATCTAAGGTAATGCTGGACACAACAATGTCTTCGTCCTGTGTCTTGGACGTGCAATCGGCAATCAGTCTGGATAATGCGTCAGCATGACCAAGCGAAGACTTACTTTTAAAACGCAAGTCGAACTCGTATGCTAATAGTGTGGTTGCCCAACGCAGTAATTTGTTTGCCGTGTGAACGGGGATTTCTCGTTTTGTGCTAAAAATAGATGACAAAGGTTTATGGTCTGTGTACAAAGTGAATTTGTGTCCATGTACCATCTTATGAAATCTCTTAACCGCAAAAACGAGCGATACTCCTTCTCCATTTGATTGTAGTTCTTTTCTGCTGCTGTCAGCGTGAGGGAAACATGCGCCACATCTTTTTGATGTCCATTCGGGAATTGACGCAACAAGACACCACCGATACGGTTTTGCGATGCATCAGCAGTGACAAATATTGGTACTCTTGGGTCCTTATGAGTTAAGAGAAGATCGGAGGACAATATTTGTTTTATATCATCAAAGACTTTCTGGCATTGCGAGGACCAATGTCACACTGACTCATTTGCCAAAAGTGCATTTAGTGGGGCCCGGAGTTCGTGCATCTAAGGGACAAAGTTATGATAATAGTTAACTAGACCCAAGAAAGACTGTAAAGTAGCCTTGATCATGGGATGTGGCATTAAATTGATGGCATTTATATTTTTTTGGGTCTGACCGACGACCAGAACTGTCGATAACGGAGCCAAGGTATGTGATACTGGGCATCATAAGCTCGCATTTCTCTGGACGTACACGAAATCTATATGAATCTACCCTGTAGAATACTTTGTCCGGGTGGGTGTAATGATCTTCAGTGGTGGAGCTTACAATTATTATCTCATCCAAATAAGCCATGGCACATATAATCCGGATGGCATAGCGTCCAGGACTTGTTGAAAGATCGCTGGAGCACATTTTACTCCGAAAGGTGACCGATTGTAACGATGAACGCCTTGATGAGTATTAATAGTGAGCAGTTCTTTTGCGTGCTCATCGAACACTACTTGCAAGTACCCATCAGAAAGATCATTGTTAGAGAAGGTCTTTTCTCCATCAAGCATTGTGGATGAATCCTCGGGAACAGATCAGGTATATTCATACGTTTCCAATGCGTTAATTAATCCCGTAGCAAAATCAGTACAATATGCAGCTTGCCATTAACCCTTCTGATGACTACAATAAGAGCGGCCCACGCTGAGTAGATCATAGAACTGATGACGTCTATGGACTCCAGTCGACTAGTTTCGGCATCCACAGCCTCAACAGCAGCGTTTGATACCGGTCTTTTAGGACAAAAAAACAGGATGTACACCGGTACGCGGAAACAACACAGCTTTGATCTTAGCATATATTCCTTGTTCGTTAGTGCTCCGGCTTCCGTGGTCAATAGCAAAAGATTTGGTTTCTGCTCAAGTTTGCGACATGTGGCTGTCTGTTTCTCCGTATGAACGTTGAACTGGTAGGCCCTGACGCCGGTGCGTCTGTGTAAGGCGCAGTACGGCATTGAATTTTGTGGACAGCTGAAGCAGTTGTGTTGAATGCTCATTGGCGACAGTGAAACAAGGCTGATGAAAGAGAAACGACACAAGACAACTCACATCTTCTTTTCTTGGTTGTTGATATGTACGGTAGTAGACTTGTTGTAATAGCCACAAATTTGGTTTAGGTTTGAAAGCAAAACTGTACTTGTATGGTTCACAGATTTGAGAGAATAGTGAGTATTTCGGTTGGGGGGCGCAGAAACTGCGATGTCAATTAGAAAGTTATACACAGTGATTAGATACGAAAGACGCGGCACGCTAAATAGCGGTCACCCAGCTGATTCTAAATAGTCCATTCACACATGTGTGCGCTAAGAATTTAGAGAGTAAGTTCGAGCGAAATAGGGGAGTAGAAAGAATGCATGTCGAACGCGTCTACTAATAACAAAGCAGAAAGTCTTCTTTATGTCAAGGATACATGTTTTTTCCACACTTTCCTTATCGACACTAAAGCATAAGTAAGCGCCACCTCTATCAATGTACATGATAAACTTTCACGGCCTTCATCCTACCGACGTGCTGCTAACGGTCCACCGATTGTACGGACAACTTCGGGGCCACGCCAGCGCGGCAAGTCTGCGGTTGTGTTACCAGGAGGTCAGAGTATCACTCGCGCCATCCACTTCGGCACATGAATTTTACAGTTTGGTTAGCTCACCAGATGAGTGTGTTACGTCCGCCCGCCTCTAGGTTACAGAAGCTGTCGATGTAGGTGTCCGACAAACCGACTACTTGTGCGCACGTACTGCTTCGCGTGGACGGTGTTCGACAGCCTCTGCAGTCGCCGCTCTGAGGGGTCAACCGTACAACCAAGTGCTTCACAATCGAACGCGGTGGCCGACACGAAATTGCCTCCATCGACTGCATAATGTCATAGGATATGGTTGAGACCACGTAGTTCTCATCTACTCTTAATGCTTCTTGTAACGTTTCAATTCTCACTACTTTATGACCGCGCAGCAATCACAATCGCAACAACTACACCGATTCACAGGCTACAGTTACTCCGAACTCATCGTCTACTGCGGATCAACCAGTCGGTGTGGTCCGAAAGTTCGTAAACAGTTTGTATTCTGACCACGTACAGCAAAGATTTATTTAGACTTATAAATATTGCACATACTCGATTCGATTTGATTGAATAGTTTTGAAAACCCTAAAATTTCAACGAAACACAACAAGGCCTGATAGATCCCACACACAGTTTCACAATTTGTTGCGGTTACACTGCGTACGTTGATTTTTATCCCGGATATTCTCCAATGCTCCGGTGCGATTCGCTGACCGGCCCTAGCAGAGTTTCGGAGATCATCAGAGTCAACGAGGATCAGAGCGTGGAAGCCGAGCGTTCTTCGTGTTGCGATAGTCGTTTGTGCTCGGGATGGCATTCGACAGAGGGGTAGACCACTATCAAGCGCCCTGTTTGGCAGAAGCGGAGGCGGAGAAATTGTCAGCGATTTTTCTGATTCAGCCAGACGTTTGCAGCCCGATGCTCCCTCTCCAACAGTCCGCTGTGATGCACTCCGGCTTTCAGGTAGTTACTTAAAAAACATGATACAGTATACCATGACTACCGGCAAAACACCTTTCAGCATGAACAATTCCACTTATTTGTTGCTGGGCAGGATTTTGTCATTTGGGCTTCGACTCAAATCATTTTCGTTATCAAACTCTTATTTAAATTAAACCCTAACTGGAAGTTTTGTAGTAACCCAAAAGATATTGCTAACATTTGTGTACCGTTTTTTACAAATCCATTGTAGGTTATTATTCTTACTCTCCTGCCCCTACCCCACGTTCAATTCTAAGTCAATTCGTCTTAACACTCATCTGCTCGTCGAGTTACTGTGTTCATTGATTGCTCCCGTTTGTTCCAGCTGCCCAAGTCAATTTATAGCTTTATCGTATGAAGCTCATTGTGGTCGATTCCATTCGACTTTCGGTACTCCCACTTGATCACGTGTCAAGTTCGGGACTGGTACTTGTTAGTCCCCATAGATGTACATCACTGAAGACGCGTCAAAGGGAATACATTTTGTATGCGCAGGCGTTGGGTGAGAAAACGCAGCTAGTCGCAAATCGCCTTAGACATGAAATCCGGTGGATAAGACAAATACGTTTATTTCTAGTTAACGAACAATACTTTCTTAGCCAGACCTACAACTAATAGTTACTTCGAATGAAATTCGACTCACCTCAGACAGATGTAACATGGCTTGTAAGTTTTCTCGGCAAATGCGTTTTGTTCGCCCAATCAGGGTAACTTCTTCCAAACAATATTCATCGTCATCACATTCGAGTTCTTCGATTCCACCAAAGTCGCCGTCGCTTTTACCTGATTTCGGGGTGGTTCTCATTGTGACCGATATCCGACTTCTAAAATGGGAAAAGCAGTGCAACAAATCTACGTGTTCATGGGGCATTTATGACTGTTGGTAGTGATCTCTGGAACAGAAAATGTAGGCAGCTAGATCGCTGTCATAGAGGCAAAATTATGGTTACGGACCAACTGGACGAATTGGAATTAATGTAATTGTTTTGTTAATCAACGCTGAATGAAATATTTCTACAATGAACCCAACTGCCATGACGTTAGTCGTTCTAAAACTCACAGGTTTCACATAGTATTAATCCGCCAGAACCAGCAAACGATTGATGGGGCTACCTGCTTACGAGACACCTTATTTCGCTCTATAAACTTTCCATTCGGGTACTGAGTACAACTAGGTGCGAGGAACACCTTAAAGGATGGGTTTTAGTTAATTGAACAGTTGCGTGAAATTAACTTTTCGATAAAAGTGATGTGTTCCATGGATGTACAGTCTTTGTTTATCAACATTGCTTTGATAGAAACAGTGGATTTCTTATGTGGCTTCGTCACTAGTGACAAAGTGCCTCTGCGGATTCCGGTTGTGTACCTCAAGGATTTCTTGCCAATTTGCACGGAAAATCTGCACTTCGTGTTCGATGGGCAGGCATATCGACAGGTTCATAGTATGCCTATGGGAAGTTCACTTGGCCCTATGCTGACGGATATGTTCATGGCGTTGGTCGAGTCGCGCATTAAGCCAGACCACGAACCAATGTCCCTATACAAGCGGTACGTTAATACCATACTTGGAGGTTTCTCAAACCCTACACACTATACACACACTATGCACGTTAAATGGAGGTGGAAAATACCACAACAATCCCTTCACAGAGTTATGAATGCTGCTCACCCAAATGCCCGCCTTACCTGTGAAGCTGAGGTTGACAGCTGTCTGCTTTTTTGGACGTACTGTTGATAAGGCGAGAAGATGGCACTATACAGCGCACCGTTTACCGGAAACCTATGTGGACCGATTTGTAAGAGCAATTTAACTGTGTTACTTTGGTTCAATACAAACCTTGCCTTTTCGAAACGTTATTCAATCTGGTCCGCAAGATATGCGGTACGGAATGTATCAGAGATGAAGCGCAACTATAATCACGCAAACTGTACGGGCATGTGGCTACACAGAAGCTTTTCTTAGGTTCACAACCGCCTCTCAGAAGGTGAGCTACCGGTCGTTCATTCTGTAACAAAAATACTTGTATATCTACATCTACCCTTCTGAGATGATGTGATTAAGGAGATAGAACAACGCACAGCAGTTGCAATAAGATGTGCGTTCAATGCTGCTAAATTCTGCCCTCTCTGGGAGACCCAGAAGCTACCACTGTAGGGCGGCGGAAGCCAACAACTACTCGTGAAGCGAAAAACAATGAAAACAGGATAGTAGCCAAGTAGAAACAGGTAAAATGAATAAGAGGAGACAATGCTTTGTGAGCTTTGTGGATCGAGCCGACAGCGGATCACCAGCGGCATCTGGTAAAGATCCTGGGCCCAGAACTAAGGAGGAGGTATTTATCAAGAACGCAATGAATCAGACATATACGCCGCTAGCGAAGCCCACAGAGGTGAACGCGGGCCAAGTGATAAAGTTACGGAAGAGCAAATCGCGAGCTTTCGAAAGACTCCTGGCTGGCCAGAATAGAAAATAGCGAAGCGGAGATATGCAGTGGAAACCTGGAGGGGTTGTTTAGAAGCTAAACTACAGAAGGCATCTGGAATGGCCCGTCACAAAAATCCTCATCCAAGATGCGTAGTGGGAAGAAATCGTGGCCCATATTTGTGCGGGTTTGTGAGTTGTCAGTTAAACATAGTTGTGGTTATACACGTTCTGCCCCCTCTTGCGTCGTTCTCGCTACGCTACGGTCCCCAGTCATGCCTACTAAGCCGGTCTCCATCACAATGTACTTTATTTATCGAGTTGTTTGAAACTGTGGAGGTAGTTACATTGGAAGAATAGACCATTGCTTGTGTAAGCGAATTGGAGAGCACATTACAAAATGGATCGCCATCGTGACAAGTTAAGCATAAACGGAACTTGTATCGACAAACAAGATACCTGCCTCCTCGATTGCCAATACCTGCTTGAAACAGGTCATCAGGTCGACCGCGACTCAGCGTTTCCTATCAGTTATCCTTACATAAATGTCAGGGCCTTAAGTTTGCCAAGGCAGTGATCATAGACAAGCATCGTCCAACACTGTGCATCCAGAATCCACTGTGTCAGGCTCAAACTCCTTAGGTGTTCGTGATACGTCTTTAAATTGTAACCACCTTTCACTTTCCATTACGTATGAGCTTCCGATTACAACTTAATTACTTTTGTCATGTTACCATTTTATATGTTGCTTATTTGCAAGTGAAGAAAAGGTTGACTAAGTTGGAAACTACAAGGTGTCCTTGCAGCCACTAATACTGTTCTGTAATCAACTACAAACCAAAGTTGATGACTGTGGTATTCTGGTCAAGTTCGCATTCATAAATTTTGGTCAATCCACACGAATCCGGTAGTCGGCTTGAAGATGTGAAAGCGGACGCAGAGGATTTTAAGTAATAACTGAGTGATTTTTAGGTTACTGCGGTCACAAAAATGTTATTGAGAAAAACATTTCCTGTGCTATGAACAACGACGCAGTCCATAAACTTACACGGAATTTGTAATCAGCCAACTTACAGACGTAATAAACAATTCACTTATTACACAGATCGAATCCGTTTGCGCTTTTCCGTACCTTTTCTGATCACGTACACGCGTCTTCTTGTTTTTGGATGCTTTACTGTCTTCGAGCGTCATTTCTTTTGGGATGACACGACTATCATTGCTCTTAGCTGGAGGAAGCGTTTCGGATGGAGTCCAACCTTTACCTGAAACATTCGCATGAATTTAGTTGTTTCTATTTTTGTACAACCAAGTACTCAGAATACAATACCAAATTGAAAAGCGGCTGTAATTGGTGGAAATTTTCATTATATTGACAACTGAAACAATTCCACCTAACCGTCAATGTGGATACCAAGTAAATACTGCTGGTAACCCGCGCTAATAAACGGAACGTACCAAATCCCGGCCTGAGTTCGATCGGTTCAAACATCTGACTTGTAAACCACAAACCAACATCCAGACTACGTAGCTACCGGCGACCTGGCATTTCCCCATTTCGCAGCGGACTACTTGTGGTCACATGGTAAGAGTGCGTCAAAAAAGTGCTGATGAATTGCGGTTGCTGTTTATGATGCATCGATGGGAGAATTGACGATCACTACTCTTCAGTCGAGTGACTGATAATCCGTTCGCACTGTATGTAACATCTAAATGTCTCTGGTATACACTGCCGTCTAACAGTGATGCTATCCTCACATTTGCAGCTACTATTCATACTTATGGTTCATTTTTGTTCGTCGCAGTCAGCCGACGATTCAGCTAAGTCAACTACCTGTCCGGAAAGGCACCAGACGGCCGTTTCGCCCTAGTGGATCTCGTCAGTGGTGCGCATCCTTCGGTCTTCTACGGAGGATCGAACTCATGACTGCTAGCGGCTTGTGCCAACTAGCCCGCAGCTTATGCAACTGCGCCGTGGAGGACGGTAGCCGACTATCACGAATGCCCACAAAATCCTTCTACTCATAAGTAATACATATTCGCCCTTACGGATTCCATAAATGCTATATCGATTAATAGCTGCCGTAATCGGGAAGTCCTGCCACCGGAAGGCCAACCGCTGTCATCTGCATGGCAGGTGCCTGCATGGCAGTGGAGGATGGGTCGGACTATATCGCAGTTAGCTAACAATTCGTGATGGTCGGCTGCCGTCCTCCATGGCTCAGTTGCATAAGCTGCTGGCTAGTTGGCACAAGCCACTAGCAGTCCTGGGTTCGATCCTCCGTAGAAGACCGAAGGATGCGCACCACTGACGAGCCCCAGTAGGGCGAAACGGCCGCCTGGTGCTTTTCCGGATAGGTAGTTGACTTAGCTGAATTGTCGGCTGACTGCGACGAACAAAAATACTCGCCAAAATCCTTCTACTCATAAGTACTTATGGTTCATACACAAATGACACTCTAAGCTTAATCTTTAAGCCGTTGAAATCATTACATCGGTCCTGTTCCTGCAGCTGTGCGTCATACCAGCTAGTTCCGTGCAGACTTGGACAATGACGGCGCGCCACTGTCCCCATCGCCAAGTGGCATGAGCTGCTTGCTAGTGGCGCAAGCCGGTAGTGGTCAAGCTTCTGTCTCAATGGGACGACAGATGCGCACTAGTGACGGGTTTCAACATGACGGATTAGTCGAACTGGAAATCCATTGCAAAGATCATTTAATTTCCAAAAAGTAATGAGGATTTGTACGAAATAACTGGAAATTAATCGTATCCAGATTCATTCAGGCAGCCATCACATGCCTGGAGAAGCGCTATACGGCAGTTTCATCCTTTCGGAAACTGTCAACACTCCATCTGCCCCCGTGTCGCTACAACCCGCAACCCGACAGTTACCAGTCCGTGGCAAAAATCACTGGACTACGGGAGTGGCACTTGCCAATATGACTCATTAACGTCATCAACATTACTCATTGACTAAAATTGCGAAACACCAAATATTGGGCCGACATATATAAAGGTAAGATATACGAAAAAGCAAACCACGAACAGCTTAAAAAGGCAGGTAACATACGGCTTAGCAACATATTACGTTTCACGTGCTAATTGTCACGTTTGAGAGCCGTCACAGATTAGGGCATTATCATCAGCATACTCCTGGTTAAGAAGTCGCTCAGCAGAAAGTAGTTTCTTGCCTTCCAAGTCGTGTGTAATGTACGCAGTCTGCATGAGTTCCTCGATGGGGAAGTTAAACGGAATAGGTGACAGCAGGCATCCCTTATCACCCACCGCTGGATATACTGAAGGGCGGCGTCAGATTTCCGCAAGCCCTCACACCGCGCAAACTATGCGCCTACAGAGTCCTGATAATTGATGCATAGATGCATAATAGATGCATATTTCTGGAGGACACTTTTCCTTGGTAGACAGTCTCAAATGGCACATCGATCAACCGAATCAAATGCTCCTTAGATGTCTAGGAACACGACTACGATGGATCGCCAATAAGTATGGTGGTATTCCAACAATTGACGTGATGTAAAGATGCGATCAATTCAGTCGTGATTTGACTAAATTACCAGAGTTTGCTGCCTAATAGAGCTTAGATTTAGTGAACTTCCAGTTCTATCATTCAAATCCCCTTACCATTCTCTAGTAAGCGGTACACAGATCAAACTGCCTATATCGCAGTGTGAGCGTGGAAAGTTCGTTTCTCGGTGAGAGGGCTGTCCTGCCCTCTGCAAGGCAGTAAGATAAAAGTCAGTGGGTGGTGTGTAAACCTCACTTGATTGGTTCACTCTGTCACACGGTAAGGATACGCACGCACTTAAACCCACTGCGAAGGTAGGCCTCTTTGAAGTCATTGCGTTGTGGTAGTCGCTGCAACTGTGGGCACAAAGTACGATCTATTCAGTTTGGTTACAAAATTCCCCCGGCCATAATTGGAACAGTGTTCAGTCAACAATCATGAGGTGAATAATTCTCTGACGTAATTGAATCTGACTTCGTCCAAGGAGTATCCGGTGGAGGTACAGCGCAGGCACGAACATGGTAGGTCGCATCTGTAAGCTTCTCAATCAGCACTTGGAGGCCATTGGTTCTGAATAATCTTTAGTCAATCTGCGAGACGCGAAGTCTCTAAAAGCCAATTGGTCGTAGCCGAACTTGAGGTGAGATTCAGTACGTTAAGTCAGATGCAGAGTGTCTCGCAGTTTCGAGAATATAACATTTATTTATGTATTTATCTTTGGCTGAACGCTGTTGATCAGGCGGTGGACTCACCACGGTACCACGTTTTAGGATCCAGATTAGAGGCAAATGTTACAACTGTCTGCCAGTCAACGCTTAGGATATAATGGTTACAAAGTAAGTCATATCACACATCGGAGCTCTGTCATACTATCCACTCACCGTATTTCCGGAGGTCCGTTGATTTATCGGGTATTTCCCCGCGTCCATCGGACCTTTCTTGCTCCAAATTTCTAATCCCAAACGAACCCATATGCCTTGCCTGTTCAGCCATGATGGTTTGCACCACACGAATACACGGATCCTCCGCAACATTACGCCCCGGGCGACTGATAAAGTCCTCCAAAGGGAGTTGCTCAGTTGTCTTCAAATCCGCAGCAGGAGACATACTGGGTCGTTCGACTTGAGATAAGTGTTGTGGGCGGCGCTTTTCCTCTACTTTGGCTAGTTGATTCCGGGGTGGCTTAAAAAGTGGACCGTGGAACATACCTGAATTCGGCAGTACAGTGTCATCAATAAGCAATACCGTCTACGACTCTAATGACTAACCCATACGAAGGCTTGTTACGGTTTTAACCCAGTTGTAACTAACGTTGGTGTCTTAAAGAAGATATAATTAATTTAATCATTTGACTGCCCGCAGTTATTTAATCGTTGCTTAGAGTTGGAGATCGTAAAGCGAAGTTGAATTCGTCAACAGCTTCAGTGTTGTATTGCGCTTTAGTGAGCCAGTTCCACTTTCCAAACACAGTACACTCACTGACTACACTGTCCTATGTACTTCAGTCTGAACAACGTGGACCAACCATGTCTATTATGCAAAGCTCACATTTTGTTTTTCTGTTGGATAGGCATAATCGGTAATCCGGTGGCTGGTCCGAAAATTCCTCTGACCGAAACCGAGTAGAAACCTCAATCCGTTACTCAACATTATCTGGACCTTGATTTCCGCACTATAGTGACCTTGTTGTAGAGGGACCCAAAAGATTGCAGCTACCCTAATATCATGGGGACCGACCATAAGGACCAAATCGCTAAGGCAGACCGGCCATTTTTCATCAAAGGAATTATTTAGTATATAGGCTTGCCGAACAACCCCGTGGTGCCAGCTGGATGGCTCGGGATTTTCCCGTTCCAGCAAATGGTTCGGCGGCAGTGTTCCAGGACGTAGTGGGTTTTCGCCTGGCAAGCGTTCTCCCTATAAAAAGCCACATATGTCCGTTTAACAACACTGTGACGTGGCGGACGTGACTCGCCACTAAATAAAGTCACCGCCCCTTGCTTCATCCTGGCGGAGCATTGCATTCCAGAAACGTTATGCTGTAATTCTGGGGAGCATTGGGCCCCTGTTGGACAAAGGAACAAACGAAAGGCGTATGAACTGAGCAATCAGTCATCGGCTCCCAATGGGCGTGAATCCCTGCATTCGCTCCGCTGCCTTGCGGGCAGGCTATTCAGCCAAAGGCTCGGGGTGGTGTCCCGTAATTCAACACTCGACTTCGGTTTGGGCAACCGGGTAGTATCACCCTCTGACAAAACCATGGAATTTAATGTGTTGTGTTGTGTTTTCTTTTACTATTTTTGTAACTTCTTTTGTGTTCCGTGGTTTCTGATGGCTCTATGTCTATTCGTAGACGGTTATATATATATATATATATATATATATATATATATATATATATATGCTGCTGACATGAATTTTGCCTCTTCTGGGGGTATTTCTTAAAACTGGACTTACAACTGTGACTAGACGAAGATCTTACCTTAGCTTATTTTTCTACATACACTAAACATTTCAGCTGAAGTTATCAGTAAACGCTGTGTGCCAGTCCAAAATCGTGGACTTTAGTTGGAAGTGTACTAGCAACTGTCAATACAATAAACAGAGAGCCATCGAAAACCACGTAACCAATGTGCGGAATAAGTACCAAAATCACAGATAGGGAAACGGATAAAGGAAGTGGTATTTTCTGCTTTTCAAGAAAGCTGTGACTGAATTCGCTGTTCACGTGTACTGATCCGTACGTTGGGAGGGGATCAGAAAATTGCAGTCAATCATTTCCCTGTGGCCATATCCATGCCGGGCATTTCGTTTACGATTTTATTTGTGGTGCAGTTGTGATATTCCGCCAACATTGCCTTTATTGGGAGATACTCTCCGTTTTATGTAACTTCGGTGTGATTCTAGTCATACATGTTAAGGATAGATGTCTACTGTTTAGCCCAACCAACTTCAAGATGACGTGTGCTCAGAGGTCGAAATAAACAAAACGATCATTCACAAATTGGAATTGCTGCTTCACTGACTAGTTCTCGTGATCGGCCGCACGCACATACACAAAACAACCCAATATGCCTCGTTTATAGTCACAGTTTAGCCTTGTCAGTGTCAGTTTGTATCAACACTACAATATCCGTCTGGTCTACTTAGATATTGTCAGCTCCAGGACTAGTGCTTGATTGGACTTGTGCTCACTGGTCCCTCATCGGGTCTCTCCGAACAAACTGCTAGGTAACAGCACAAAATCTACGATGTGCTCGAAGCCTATGTGATCGGCAGCACATCACATTGCCGCATTGCGTCAGCCAAGAATGTTTCCTAGAACATTATTACCTTTTTCCGTCGGTTGTAGAAATTACCTTAATTATCAATACTCCTTTTTCACTGACAACCATGCTCTGTTGTCTACACAATTTTTAAATCCCACAGTCAACCCAAAAGCATTACGTATTTGGTAAAAGTTGACAGACTATCTGTCTTGCTGACACTTACCGAAATATCCGGTTTCTTTTTCAGCATTACAGTCTTCATGTTGCCTACTTCTTTTCGAACTGTCTCGGTACTTTGTTTCGGCAAACCGCCCTCCCGTTCACCTGTTTCCATCCTGAGGCAAGTAAGAAAGGTACATCTGTGGGTCGCACTGTGGCAGAGTTGTTCGAATAAACCCAAGGCTTCTTCACACACTTGTCGCTGGGTCATTGTGTCAAATTCAGTCCGCTGTGTGTTGTTGTCTCTTGCTTGATTCGGCTTCCCTTGAGCGTTTTTCATAACCATGATTACATGGTCCAATTCGCATTGAATGGCAGATGACTTTGAGTCACTGCAATATTCCAACCGCGTAATAATCTCTTCAAGCTGGTGCAAATAACTGTCAATCATCTTTCTTTGACTTTCACTGTCCGCAATGTTTCCTTTGATACGTACCTCAAATGTATGGGAAATATGTGGAATTGACTGCTAAAGATCACCTACTATACCTGAACTAGTTAGATGAGAAGATGAATGCTCATGCCCAATTACGCTCATGTCTAAGTAGTGAATGCGGCCGACGGATTTCAGTAACGGTGGTTAAAAATATACTACAGGTGTTCCAGTTATGGTTTACTGGCTAACAGAACTGTTCATGTCTAAGCCTAGCATCTGCCTGCTAGGAGGCAATTATGGCCTACTTCGAGTTTGAAACGGTTGTGAATGCACTTAGGTTGATGAATGTATGTGGATTTTGCGTTGTTCTCCGAGCTGACAAGTTAATGTGCATAGGCTTCATTGCCAGACTGGACAACATCACTACTGCCGCTTCAAAGGTGGTGTCTGGTACCCAGAGTTCTATACATTTTTACACGCATATTAGCGTATTGTACCAAGCTTTTAGCGTGGTTCATTTTCGAAATAGCGTGCGGTACTTTCAAGTTAGCGAGGCGGAGAACGCTGATTTGGCGTCCTTGACACTCTCATTGGTCATGGGACATAAACCAATGGGACTTCGGTTAGAAGCCACCAGCATAAGCGACAGACACTCCAATGAAATTGGTCGAGCACCACCTTCTGGTCTGCCTTGATGCCCATCTGAGTAAACCTCGATGATTGGTCTCCAACCTGAAACCGACCAATAGGCAAATTGTGCTGTCTGTCAAAGGAGGAGATGCTAGCTACCACACTATCCAAAGCTTAAGACTTAACCAGTGTGGATAGACATACTAACCAGCACATGTAGCGGTCTATGGCGATCACTGGCGGCTACCTAATGGTGGCTTATTCAGCGGCCTAACCATGGTGGCGTAGACAGGCAACCATCTAACTCGTATTCCACAGTACAGCAATGGCTGCTAGGCGGGTAGACAATTGTGTGCGAATGTCATTGCAACGATCATGGGGGACACAGTTCCCACAGAAGTTAGTAGACCAACCTGAAGCTGAACAACGACAATTCTAAGGTTGCTTAATTCGATCACAGTTGACGACTCAACAAAAAATAAGAGGAGTCCAAGTGTGGCGCTGACACGACGTCAGTGAGTGTTCGTTTGCATCCATACCCATGGGCGAAATGTTAATGAGTTGTCGCTTCAGTGTCTCTATATTTGGCGTTACGTAAAGGTCATAGGAACCTATGAATTCTTAGGATAATTAGGTTTCACTTCCATATGGTCGCCCATGGTGACGTAGAGAATAATTTCACTGGCATTCCCTACGTCAGCAATGGCTGCTAGGTAGTTATACAATTTTGAGCGATTGTTATTGCGACGATCATGGGGGACATTGTTCCCATTGAAGTTGATAGACCAACCTGAAGCTGAACAACGAAAATTCTATGTTTGCTTACTTCTATCACAGTTGATGGCTCAACAAAATGTGAGAGGATTCCAAGTGTGGCGTTGACACGACGTTAATGAGTGTTCGTTTGTCTCCTAACCCATGGGGGCATTTGTTAGTCAGTTACCACTTCAGTGCCTACATGTATCGCGTTATGTAAAGGTCATAGGAACCTATGTATTCTTAGGATAATTACACTTCACTTCCATATGATCGCCCATACGTGTTGGGACGCTTTAACAAGTGGCTCTTCAAATGGAACCATTATAAGCACAGTCAATGCAGATGGAACCTCCCTATTACGTCAATGGACTGGCATGCTCTCCTCAAAGAATCGGCATTACTCAACAAAGTAACACTTAAAGGGGCCACAATGACTACGGTGTTTATACATGCCACATCGTCCTGCTAGAAAGAACGCAAGACTTATGATTAGTGGCGACGCAGGCATGTTACTCTGGTACTTCAGGTGAGTACTTGGAACAGATAAACACTGTTGTCTCACCCACGGGCGTTCCTACAATGTGTTGGCAATCATTTACAAAGGCAACCGCGCCCACTAAGCCTGCTTATGGATCACTGTTTCAGCTAGTCTTAGAAGCATTCATGTATGCACGCCGTGACACAGGTTGTTAGCGACTTAGCAACTACTGGGAAACATTTTGTCATTGGGAAGTAGGTAATTCCGGAGACGTTGTTGAAGGAGGAAAATTTCTGCAATCCCTATGCTTACTATGCGTATTCAATGCTCGTAGGCACCTCATATCAGGACCGTAGGGTTACTTGAGATTTAAAGCTTATCAATCACTTTTAAGTGAAGGGTAAAAATCATGTTGAAACGCAGGATTGACATGCATCTTACGACATTAACATAACGACAGGACCATGGGTCTTGTAGCGGTAACTGATTACCGAAGTGGCCCACAGGTGTGGAGACGAACGCACACTCACTAATGTCGTGTCACCGCCACACTAGGAACCCTCCTCTCTGGAACAATGGCTACAGATCCACTGATGATCTTACCTACACAGCGAACTTGATCTTAGTATACAATGCGCCAACTACATAAGCAATACCTATTTACGCTATTCACAGGAGTGTACGGCCAACTGAAAAAACACAGCACGAGCAATTTGTAGCTGTAAAGCTTTTTAAAAATTCTATTTGCCAAGTTCTAGCTTTACCTCCTTCATACGAATGATTGCATTGTTTCCGATTACCTCACATTGCGTTAACAATCACACGCACATCCTAAGGTAAGTCGCACACCTATCGATTCTCCAGATTGCTCGCAGTGGCACGATTACACTATGCATCACGTGTGGCCAGATAGGCTAGCGAGAAAGATAGCCAACTTGCATTCAACCCGTAAGCCTACAAAGGTTCCCTTCCAACAGGGTTGCAGCCAATCCGCTTCCTATCACTACTCAATTAGTTGTCATCACGCTCGTGTAAGCCTTCAAAGCCCCTCTTACAATAGGCTGCAAACGCTACAACCTCAAAAAGCCACCAATCCGCTTCTTATTACCACTCACAGATTTCCTCTCGCCCCCGTGCTAATGATAGCTCCTTACGCCAGATTGGCAGCATGAGCAATCACGTACTATGTCTCCCATTGGCTGATCATCCTCGACACCATTGAAGTGTGCTGATACACCGATTGCGATCAACAGACAGGCGGCCGACAAACGGAGTGAATGGTACAGCGAAGTTGCAAGCCCACTACCAGCCTGTAGGTAGTTTTAGACAAAACAATCGTTCCAAAATATGCTCTTGTTTAAAAGTACCAGCACATTCTGTGCCGCACCAATGCGCGCCTGAAGTAAAGCCGAGGCGTTCTCTCTGGATTCAGACCGTCCAATCGACATGATTGAAAGCGTCCATACGACTGCACGCGCGCACAGTGTCACACTTGTTAGTCTTCCCTTTGGTGTGGCCACAAACTCGACCCCAAAGTGCATCGCTTGATACGCAGCGGACCAATGGGGTCCAGATCACACGACGAGTTTACTAGGCCAAAGAACAGGTAACATTACAGCAAGTGATCGATAGTACTGGTTAACAAGCGGTTTCGTCGTCCTGTCGAGGATGATCAGCCAATGGGAGACATGGTACGTGATTGCTCATGCTGCCAATCTGGCGTAAGGAGCTATCATTAGCACGGGGGCGAGAGGAAATCTGTGAGTGGTAATAAGAAGCGGATTGGTGGCTTTTTGAGGTTGTAGCGTTTGCAGCCTATTGTAAGAGGGGCTTTGAAGGCTTACACGAGCGTGATGACAACTAATTGAGTAGTGATAGGAAGCGGATTGGCTGCAACCCTGTTGGAAGGGTACCTTTGTAGGCTTACGGGTTGAATGCAAGTTGGCTATCTTTCTCGCTAGCCTATCTGGCCACACGTGATGCATAGTGTAATCGTGCCACTGCGAGCAATCTGGAGAATCGATAGGTGTGCGACTTACCTTAGGATGTGCGTGTGATTGTTAACGCAATGTGAGGTAATCGGAAACAATGCAATCATTCGTATGAAGGAGGTAAAGCTAGAACTTGGCAAATAGAATTTTTAAAAAGCTTTACAGCTACAAATTGCTCGTGCTGTGTTTTTTCAGTTGGCCGTACACTCCTGTGAATAGCGTAAATAGGTATTGCTTATGCAGTTGGCGCATTGTATACTAAGATCAAGTTCGCTGTGTAGGTAAGATCATCAGTGGATCTGTAGCCATTGTTCCAGAGAGGAGGGTTCCTAGTGTGGCGGTGACACGACATTAGTGAGTGTGCGTTCGTCTCCACACCTGTGGGCCACTTCGGTAATCAGTTACCGCTACAAGACCCATGGCCCTGTCGTTATGTTAATGTCGTAAGATGCATGTCAATCCTGCGTTTCAACATGATTTTTACCCTTCACTTCCAAGTGATTGATAAGCTTTAAATCTCAAGTAACCCTACGGTCCTGATATGAGGTGCCTACGAGCATTGAATACGCATAGTAAGCATAGGGATTGCAGAAATTTTCATCCTTCAACAACGTCTCCGGAATTACCTACTTCCCAATGACAAAATGTTTCCCAGTAGTTGCTAAGTCGCTAACAACCTGTGTCACGGCGTGCATACATGAATGCTTCTAAGACTAGCTGAAACAGTGATCCATAAGCAGGCTTAGTGGGCGCGGTTGCCTTTGTAAATGATTGCCAACACATTGTAGGAACGCCCGTGGGTGAGACAACAGTGTTTATCTGTTCCAAGTACTCACCTGAAGTACCAGAGTAACATGCCTGCGTCGCCACTAATCATAAGTCTTGCGTTCTTTCTAGCAGGACGATGTGGCATGTATAAACACCGTAGTCATTGTGGCCCCTTTAAGTGTTACTATGTTGAGTTATGCCGATTCTTTGAGGAGAGCATGCCAGTCCATTGACGTAATAGGGAGGTTCCATCTGCATTGACTGTGCTTATAATGGTTCCATTTGAAGAGCCACTTGTTAAAGCGTCCCAACACGTATGGGCGATCATATGGAAGTGAAGTGTAATTATCCTAAGAATACATAGGTTCCTATGACCTTTACATAACGCGATACATGTACGCACTGAAGTGGTAACTGACTAACAAATGCCCTCATGGGTTAGGAGACAAACGAACACTCATTAACGTCATGTCAACGCCACACTTGGAATCCTCTCACATTTTGTTGAGCCATCAACTGTGATAGAAGTAAGCAAACTTAGAATTTTCGTTGTTCAGCTTCAGGTTGGTCTATTAACTTCAATGGGAACAATGTCCCCATGATCGTCGCAATAACCATCGCGCGAAATTATATAACTACCAACAGCCATTGCTGACGTGTGGAATACCAGTGAGATTATTCTCTGTCTACGTCACCATGGGCGACCATATGGAAGTGAAACCTAATTATTCTATAAATTCATAGCTTCCTATGACCTTTAGGTAACGCCAAATATAGAGACACTGAAGCGACAACTGATTAACATTTCGCCCATGGGTATGGATGCAAACGAACACTCACTGACGTCGTGTCAGCGCCACACTTGGACTCCTCTTATCTTTTGTTGAGTCGTCAACTGTGATCGAATTGAGCAACCTTAGAATTATCGTTGTTCAGCTTCAGGTTGGTCTACTAACTTCTGTGGGAACTGTGTCCCCCATGATCGTTGCAATGACATTCGCACACAATTGTCTAACCGCCTACCAGCCATTGCTGTACTGTGGAGTACGAGTTAGATGATTGCCTCTCTACGACACCATGGGCGACCATATGGAATTGAAACCTAATTATTCTATCAATTCATAGCTTCCTATGACCTTTAGGTAACGCCAAATATAGAGACACTGAAGCGACAACTGATTAACATTTCGCCCATGGGTATGGATGCAAACGAACACTCACTGACGTCGTGTCAGCGCCACACTTGGACTCCTCTTATCTTTTGTTGAGTCGTCAACTGTGATCGAATTGAGCAACCTTAGAATTATCGTTGTTCAGCTTCAGGTTGGTCTACTAACTTCTGTGGGAACTGTGTCCCCCATGATCGTTGCAATGACATTCGCACACAATTGTCTAACCGCCTACCAGCCATTGCTGTACTGTGGAATACGAGTTAGATGGTTGCCTGTCTACGCCACCATGGTTAGGCCGCTGAATATGCCACCATTAGGTAGCCGCCAGTGATCGCCATAGACCGCTACATATGCTGGTTAGTAGGTCTATCCACACTGGTTAAGTCTTAAGCTTTGGATAGTGTGGTAGCTAGCATCTCCTCCTTTGACAGACAGCACAATTTGCCTATTGGTCGATTTCAGGTTGGAGACCAATCATCGAGGTTTACTCAGATGGGCATCAGGGCAGAACGGAAGGTGGTGCTCGACCACTTTCGTTGGACTATCTGTCGCGTATGCTGGTGGCTTCTAACCGAAGTCCCATTGGTTTACGTCCCATGACCAATGAGAGTGTCAAGGACGCCAAATCAGCGTTCTCCGCCTCGCTAACTTGAAAGTACCGCACGCTATTTCGAAAATGAACCACGCTAAAAGCTTGGTACAATACGCTAATATGCGTGTAAAAAGGTATAGATGCAAATGTTTAATTATCAAATTAGACTTGTCGTCTTTTTGCCATATTACTGGTGGTTTCTGTGAGTAATGTAATTTTCGTAGAAAGTAGAAACAACCAGTAAACATTGCACAATAATCTGCCTCTGCGGGGAACGGAACCTCGGACCCACGGATTACCTTTCCCCCTGTTCTACCACTGAGTTACCGAAGGCTGACGATCAAGTGGGCAATTTAATACATGACTTCTGCCATTTCCCGGATATTTCGGCGTGTTTCAGTTTTGAAAACTAATTGGTCAGCTATGAAAACAAAGAAAAAGATATTCCAGCTTTCTCCAGCAATAAGTAGCAGCCTGCACCATTACGCCTGTACACCTCAGTCTTTCGGCTAACATTTGGACAACCTGAAGACCGAGGCGTAAACGATGCCTTTGCGCGTGCATGTGCAAGGAGAAGCAGCACCTCGGAGGCCCTTTGTGGATGACATTCTGAAAGTTATACTATTCCGCTTGTCTGCGGGTGCTTGACATGTGGGTGAGGCCGCTCTTATGGTACACATCTGCCACTGGTATACGAGCTCACTGCTATCGAGACCGAGAGAAGTGGGGGCAGTAATAAACATCAGCGAGTTGTTCAACAATCCAAACAGCTTAAGCTGAAAGCATTTGGTGTGTACATCAGACGTTATCCTCCTTTGCGTAGTAAGATCCACGTATTGTGCATGACAGGAGCATGAGTACTGATAAACAAGCATTGATCGAGTCAGTGGAGGCGGTCTATCTTTCTGAAGTTTTCTGAGTAAGTGCTTGCTAGCGTATACTATGCGTAGGGCAGCCGCGAAATAGGTCTTCTTAACAGCGTCGTTCAAGCGTTTGGACAGGACATCAGCCGCACGGACGCTTTTGAAAGGAAAAAAACAATGAGTTCTTTCGTCGGAATACTCATCCTCGGTGGCGTTGTCCTGCGTTCATTCAAATGTTTGATTATCAATTTATCCGGATACCCATTTGCTATCAGAAAAAAGCCACCGCGGATGAGTATACGGAAAAAAGAAACCATTGTGCATTTTCCTTTCAAAAGTGACATTGTAGCTGATTCCCTGTCCGAACGCCTGAAAGACGCTGTTAAATAGACCTGTTTCACGGCTGGCCTACGCATAGTGTACACCAACAAGCCGTTATTCGGAAAACTTCAGAAAGATAGGCCGCCTCCACTGACTCGAACAATGCTTGTTTATCAGTACTCGTGCTCCGGTCATGCACAACACGTTTATCGTACTACGACGCGCCTATCTCATAGGATCGTGAACACATTCCGAAATGGTTTCACAGAGGGGGAGTGAGGTATTCTAATAGCTCTATCCTGTCGCACCTCTTAGAATACGGTCACGTAGGAACAGAAAACCACTTCATGGTCACCGAGTATACTCCTGAGCTTTTTGCGCGGATTCCGGAACCAACTCTTATCTTGATGTAGCTATCCATATCCGCCACTTCAAGCCCGAGTTGTGCGAACAAAAGCGATTTGCAAGCCTCTTACTTCTGCCGTGGCGTACCACCTCCGCTGTACGATCCTTTGATTTTTGCTCCAATTAACCTTTGGTTGTTAAAGTGATTTGCCTCTGTACATAAGTTGCTTCCTTCAGCGACCGTGTGATTTGTCGATTCTTTTCTGTCGGAATTAAACTTTCTAATCAAAACGCAGCCCTATACGGTACTTTTAGCATGTATGGGACAACATCCAAACTTGACCACCTCCATTTGTTGACCGCCTCTTTATTTTGACTGTTTCTTCTTAGCTTGAACGGTCACCATGTTAACCTTATGGAACCACACCCTTGTATGTTGACCACTACTGTAGGTTGTAGTTTGACCACTTGTGCTTTGACAGTCAATAATACTTCAGCCTCCATACGGTGATCATTTGAGGGTTTACCATCCAATGGTGTCCGAATGACTCGGTTGTTCCCATAACGCGGTGTGTAACGGGACTGCAAAGTATGGAATTCTGACCCCAAATTTGTGAACATCCACCATGTTCTCTGTGTGTATGTGCGTGTTTGTCCCGGCAGTTAGCGTTTACGTGTGTCTGAAAACGCACGCATAGGTCAGTGGTTCGCAGCCAAGGGCAATCACCCCAGAGGGTAATTACCCTCCAAAAATGACCTAACAAATCCAAGCTTTGGACCATGAGATCAGCAAAATATTCAGAATACCCTACCGAGGCTAGCTCATGCAATGGTTTATGGCGAAATTGCAAACTAATGATTCTCATACGAAAGGAATTTCATCTGTTTCCTCACTTAATGTCTTGGATGTTGTGTTTTGGATAACTTCCGCTTGGTTCAAAGTTCAATCAGACATAATACAGAAGTGTTTCAGAAAAGCCGGATTTGTTCAATCTCCCAAGCGGATGCCGTCGCCATATTAGTCGTTCCATCTCCGTCGGGAGAAATCTATGGAACAGATTTTAAAGTTTAAAGCAGCTAGTTCCCTTCAGAAATTTGAAAAGCGCTGTGAGAAGACGAAAATTGTTCGATACATGCAATACGAAATGCATGCTTCTACTAGCTTTCAGCCACCTACCGCACTTTACAGCTTTTAAAGTTATTTTTTGAATGAATAATGACTACTTAACTTGCACTAAACCAGACCCAGATGCTATTTCCCAAGCGGTACTGCCCTACGATTAAAAAGAACACCTGTTGTTGCTGATGAAGAAGAAGAGCTGAGTGACGATGATTTGGAAATCACAGTACCTCCAAAAATGGAGAAGTCAGACGTATTTGAAAGCGAATGAAATAATTTGCTGTGGGAAAATGTCAGGATGCTGTGTAGCGTGGCTTGTGTTGAGAGCGCTTCTTCAGTTGCCTGCAGAGATTGACATTTTCTTTAACAAAATGATTTTAATTGAGAAATGCACTGTGTGTTTTGATTTCTTATGACGCTGTATGGCTGAAATGTAGTTCCCCTTTACGTAAAGTCCTGTCGAATGTGTTCGAAACCGGCTTTTGTGGAAATAAATTCCATACTATACTACTGACAACGGGAAAGCAGTTTACGCTAAGTTTTGGCATAGAACCTCCGTAGGTTGATCACCTCTTCATGTTGATCAATATGTTCCAGTTCGTTGAGTGGGCAACGTATGGAAGTTTACTGTAATTGTCTTCATTTAAAGTCTGTGACTGACGAAATTTACCGAAAAGAATTCTTTTTACTTAATATGTGGCTTTTTTCGATTCATTCTATTAAATGGAAATTCCTGGCTTGGTAAAGATTAACATCCCCGTAATTCAATTAACCATCAATTATAAGCAGTGGTATAAAAGAATCTACGGCAATCAAATCCTACAGAGCGGTGACCAACGGCGCGGAATGTTATCGTGTGGTAATACACTCATTATACATGCGATTAAAGCAAAGCTTTATATAACAGAGGGGCAGTGCATTCCCATATATTGAAACAACATGGATGATTTTCGGTGCCATCGTCTAACCAGGCCAATGGCAATGTGGCAGAAATCCCCGACAAATCGCTTACTGCTGCATTGGTCGCACAGCGTGCAACGTTTTCTGCATAAATGACGTCCGTCATGTTTGGAGCTAGCTCACGTTCGAATGCCTTCACACGTGCGTTGATGAATGTTCGTCTTTCCTTCTCCATGGCTTCCATTTTGCCAGCAATTTCTTCCTCCGTGGAAGAAATCTGTGTTCCAAGCTCTTGTATGCGCGTCTTGTAATATTCTGCCTCTTCCGGTGCAAAATTTCCGCCATCAGAAAATAGTCTGTGTGGTGGAATAAAGATGAATTATAAACCAAAATTGGTACGATTATTTTCAATGCGTCTCTTATCATCGTCGGTCATCCCAGCTCATCTACGCTACCAGTTTGGTGGATAAATAGTTTACGAAATCGGTGCAATCGTGATCAATGTGACGACCCAAGAGAAAACAATAAAGTCGCCTCTTTAGATACACAACTGCAACGACTTACACAGATTCGGATAAACAGGGCTAAATCGTTCTGGTTCGCCGCTGTACTTTACAGGGCGAGAAACTATGTGTCTGCACCCCGATTGGATATTAGGCGGAACTAGGACGCTCCGTAAATGCGCTAGCTACCCTAGTGTGAAAGCGATCAGTGTCTATAAAAGTCCATGACTCCAGCTGTTTCCAAGACGCCAAAAGAACAAGCCGGTGCCGATGCCACATCTTGAATGCGGTCTAGAGTGGAGCTGAGGCGTCTCCAATGAACTTAACACACGTGCTCCTGAGTCCCGTTCGTGATGCTCCACTGGCAAGCAGAAAATGGTTGTCATGACTGTGTTCAGGCAAGATACAAGGAAAAGCTGGTGCGTACTTTGTTTCACACATACACCAAAGATGTGTTTTCTTTCTCATCGTGTCTCTCCCCCTCCCACCTCAGTTACCGAACGACTTATGAATGCACTACTTCCATGCACTGTAGTGCATTGCACGGATGATAGCCAAAATGGCAATTTTAAGCTTACTGTTTTCAAATGACGTTCAGGTACTCAGCCCTGAAAGAACGTGACAGTTTCAACCTCCGCCCCTCCACCCATCACGAAACAGTAAGGCTGGGTAGTAAGTTTCCTCAGCACGTAGACGCTGCTGCATAGATTTACATAAATTTTAATAAAGCGTTCAACAAATTGATTCGAGTTCTTACTCTACAGGCTGTGTTCGGCTTTGCTGGATCAATAAATCAGTGTACACGTGAGTTACTCATTTGATCAAATTAAATGGTACAACTGGACGGTCATCAAACAGACTGGTATCACTCAGCTACTGAATAAATAAATAAATAAACTTTGATTCTTGACGATGCAAACCACACGTTTACAGGCGCGGTCATGTTAAACCATCATAGCGCGATCAAAAATGTACAAACTACGACTTACTGGAAGGCACTGTACCGAGGCTTCCTCGCTTACTAACCCGCATCAGGTTTTCACCTCAACTTCATCGATTGTCGTGTGCCTTGCTTGCAGACGACCTGAAGATGCAGTGATGGGCTGAGGCTTACTTTGCAAGACATCAACCACCACTCTATGTAGTCTATAGAAGTTCCCGTCAGTGAATGCAAGCAAGTGAATATTCATGCGCCGAGGGAAGGGTGGTGAGTACCGAACCTACAACCTTGGCGACCAATCCCTGCATTCTACACCTTCCGTGAAGGACTTTGGTGTACACTCTCGCTGCCATTCAAAGTGCGTTGGCGACGCGCACAGGCAGCTCCCCTAAACTGACTGAGCAAGTTTCGGCGCTCAACACAGCTTCTGCATCTGGTTTGAAGTGGTTTGCACTCACAGCTTCTGTTTATTCCTAAGATCACTGCTGAATTATGGTTAACTCGCTTGTTACCGGACCCCTCGAGATGTGGCATAAAAGATCGAACGGTCGAGCACATCACCAACAGGTTCATCTCGGGTTCTCGAGGTTGCTGGACGAAAACCCGTGGAGAGACTTCGGATCTGCGTCTTGTCCTATCCTCTGTTGTGCTTCTGTCTCATCGTGAACTACCGCAGATTGCAGCGCAGTGACCTCCCCATGGTGAGTCTGCTACTCCATTTCTGCACACCCTGCAGCACACAAGGAGATTAGGATACGTTAGTTGCACCGGTTGTGTAACGAATTGCCCATGCTTCGTGCTTAGAAAGAGGAATGGTCGGCGTTTGAAGTAATCCTCGGATGCACCTAGTACAAACATGCTAGATGCAGAAATTCAAGACATTGCCGGATATTATTACCCTTCTCTACCTCTCGCTTCATAAAGCGGTTCCCATTGTCAATTATGCCTAACATTTGTGAATCATAAATTGTTTACCATAGCACCAGTAAACTACAAAAATTACTGCAGTATTGACAGGTCACAGGTAATTTATTTGTTTGCGACATTTGCATAATTTTTCGTTGCAGTTGTCCAGCGTTAAATTTAAACCTCTCATAATATTCAGTATTCTTGTGACTCTTAGTCTTGAGAAGATATGCAAACCAGAACAAAATTTTTATTTAGTGTCATACTAGGCGTTCCGAGTGTAACACTAGCCAATCAGTCATTAATCCCGAGGTTGGCTGGCCAATTCACTTTCTCTCTAAGTAACTCCAAATCTTCGAAGGTTGACAAAATAGCGGATGCAATGGCCCTCGTAGTATCTGAGGCGAGCAGTGTGTTTGTCATCATACAAGTCCTCCATCAGTGGTTTATCCCCTGACTGACTGGATGCGCTAGTCTAATCGGAGCCGAGTTGGTAACGGGCTTTTGAATTCTGCACGGATAACTGATATAATCTGCAAGGACTAACGATGGAAGGGTCGCAATCCCTACCCCCTCATTGTTAATCTCCCCTTCCAGATGCATCTAAGACACAACTGTTGGCCTAATCAATCTGATAACTTTGCTCTAAACTTGGATCTATCTCCTAAGGCTTCGGCTACTTTTACTGGAACACCCAGCGTTGCTAATTGGCAGCCAGTTTTAACGCGTCCGCAGAATGTAAGTTTAAAAAGTGAACTAAAGCCTCGTTTACTACCTGTGAGATGAGGCAACTATGGGAGCACATTCTTACCCTTCCAACGTATTCAGAGCTCAAATCGGAGAAATCCTTTGGTTGATGCGAATACAGCTGCTAATCGCTCGCGGTAGATAAACTACATGGTTTCTCTAAAAACATTTCGGAGGACAACTCGAACCACTTGTTAGTGTGTGCATTCAGCCCTGCGAACACACGCGTGATGCTGGCAAGTGTGTGCACGCATGGTCTACATGTCTTTTGAACACTAACGATCAATACACTTGTAGCTATTTTCTTGGCCAAATCATTCGTTAGAATACATGATTCTTAATAGTTGGTGGGTTTTGTTGTGTTTTGGTATACAACAACTGGCCTTGTGGCAGAGAACGATTACACAATGCCACTTCATGTTCCACCTCCGGAAGCCTTTTGGCGTGATTCTACTATCGAACCTACTGAGACTGCTTGGACATAGTGGAAAACTTCTTACACGTATTCCTTGGAATTGCTACCTTCTACTGCTGCTAACAATGCAAACCAGTAATGGTAACTACTTCCTGACCTGTTGGGCAATGAAGGCCAACCTTACCTCGATGTATTATAACTGTGGAGCCTCGATAAGCTTACGAAGGCTTTGGATCTGTTGGATTAATCTTGGGTGTAGGGTCAAAAGTTTTCGCTGAACGTTACATATTCGACCGGTTGAAGCAAGAAGATGCAGAACCACTAGAACAGTTTGTCGCTCGCTTGCATCGGGCTGTCAAAACTTGTGATTAAGCCGTCATCCCGAAGAATTGACTTGAGGGTCTTAGGTTGACGCAACATTTGATAACCAGTATCAATGATAATCTCTATTTTCCGATGATCTTTTGAAACTTTCATGGGTGAGAACCATAGAGATTGCCGGACTTAAGACTGCCGCACTCGAGCAGTCGCACCAGATCAAAACGATTAGGGACACTTTAAATCAGTTAGATTCAGAACAAAGGTACCAGGTCACCTCAGAATTTAACTGCTTGGTGTTATCCATGTGTGAGTATTTGCCACAAATCGGGCTATCAAACAGGTCCGGCGAGCACAGCGGATTGCACCACTGTGCTAAGCGGGCGATTTCGTCAGATGTTATCGCTCACGCCGGGTAGACTTAATTGCTCAACAGAATGATGTTTCCACCTCACCAATTACGAAGAAAGTTTTTTCCGTCAGAAAATTACCACAGCCAGAAACTCGGCGAATTTCTCTATCATCACGGAACATCATTATGCTTCATGGTGTCTAGCATCATTGTGGCAGTTGCCATGGGACTAGACCCTGTATCACATAACAATTATTCCATACAGCATTTACAAAACTTACTTACATGACCTTCCGTTACATCCTGTTAGTTTGACCAGCGTCATGCTGAAGTGCTTGGAAAACTTAATAAAATATAGGACCTGTTAACACTTGACTGAGTACAATCTAATTAATGCTGGACAGCATGGTTTTCTTTAAAAGAAGTCGTGTCTTACTAAGTTATTGTGCTCTTTAAATGAGATTACCCAATGTCTTGATAGTGGGATGTCGGTAGAGCTGTGCTATTTGGACTTCAATAAAGCCTTTGACTCAGTAAGTCATCAATTTTTAATGGAGAAGCTGACGGGGTTTGGATTGTATCCTCAACTCGTACTGTGGCTCTCTGAATTCTTACATGGATGGACATTCAAAGTCAGGGTCGAGGAAGAGAGTTCTAGTGTGGGCCATGTTTACAGCGGTGTTCCCCATCGTTCAGTACTAGGTCCACTGTTGTTTCTCATGTTTATAATTGACCTGACTGCTCTTCTTGAGGATCCCTGCTATAACTTCGCAGATGGCTTAAAATTAGTCAGTAGGGGAAACCGAGCGACATTGGCTAAGGACACAATCACTGAGGTGAATTGGTCGATCCAATGGGATCTACCTCTGAATGCCAATAAATGTCAACTATATTGACCAGTAATCCGTCGCAACGAGACTGGACCTTAACGTGGTGCGACGGTTTGCGTACCTCCATGACCCATTGAGCTATACTGGGTGATGCCTCCGGGCACGTTGAGAGCTATTCCTACCAGGTTGGTCAATGGTGAGAGGTCAGACAAACTCAGTCACCTGGTCCTCCACGTTGGGGGTTTAAAATGGGATGGCATCCATTTCTGTAAAACTAAAATATTGCCACCTTCACGCTGCCTTGCGGACAGGCATTTAAGCCAAAGGCTTTGGATGAGGACCCTA